CAAACCCATCCCTCGAAACGCGCCCCATCATCCGCAGCGAACAATACTGAATGTACATGGGTTTCCCCTCGGTAGTTTTTTTGCGCACAGAGTTTTTGAAATAGGCCATACAAGCATTGGAACGCTTCTGTGATTTGAATGGTAATTGTATGCATGGTGGAAGCTCCATTCCTCCTTTATGATCAGGCAAAAGCCTCTATGGGTAACTCTAATAAACGTAACGGGTCCTTCAGATGCCCCCCCCCCAAGCTTACTAGAGTGCCACAGTTTGGCTAGGAATCCCAAAGGAACGGGAGGCTCTTGTCCTCATCGGTTTTTTTCTGCGTAGACTACCAAGATGGTTCGGAAAAGTGACACGAATTCTAGCGTCATTCATGGCGTAAGGAGCTGATTGGGTTAGAAAATTTTTCTTGTTGAAAATAACCTTGTAAGCCCTGTGGCTAGTAGACGGATCAGTTATAGTAACGTTGGCTTTGGCTGCGGCGGCGACTTCTCGTCGTGAATCCTCACTTGATGACACGCTCTCACTACGAGATCCTCGAGCCGAATCTGATCCCGAAATCGGATATGGCGAAGGAGATTTATCGTCTGAACCTAAATAATGTTTCATTCACAGTCACTGAGGTGAACAATGGCCTGAAAAACCTTACCCTTGACTGCAGCTTCATTTCGTTTCCGTCTGAAAGAGTCTCCACGTGAAACTACAGCTCCCTTTTCATCTATCTTGAACTGGCGCACCCTGTAATGGACCTTTGTTAACTTGAAGTCGTTTTCTATTTGCATGTGAACGGAATAGTATAGAAGCATGTCTCTCCACTGAAAAGTAGCTCAAAATGAACTTTTTTGTGCCGCTTAGTCTTTATATCAGACGTAGAGCCAGTATCGGAGGGCAACAAGAGGCGCTCCGGCGGCGGATGCGTATTCCCGTGCCAGTTCTGCTCTGTATACATAGGTCTTTGCCTCTTAACCACCTACGCCCTCACAGTTGACGCTGTATACTTGAAAAGCCCTTCTTAGCCTCAGATAAAAGTATAAAAAGGATAAAGTCTTCGCCGTTGATCAATCCCTTTGTGGGATGCGGCACGCATTCTACTTCCATTCAGAATCGTAGTGGCTTATTGAATGCGATGTGGCCTATACAATGACTTGCGGTGGCCAGCCGATGTACAAGTCAGTGTTTTATCCTCCCAGACGAATCTGGTACCAATTTG